GGGGGGGGCTGCGAAAAGGGGGCGCCCAATTCTTGACCCCCCCCCCGGGCAGACCTTGGACATGGGGGGCACACCACTCCGGTGTCGAGTCAAGGCGGTAGCGGCGCACAGGGCTCTCGCCGGCCGGGGGATGATCTGTGGCTGGGGCCCCGCACCCGGCTGCGGGGCGTGGCCAGCATTTAGTTAAACATTCTTCTCGAGCCCCAGTCAGGCGGCGCCCCCTCCCCCCTCCCCCTGCAAAGCGCTCTGCAATCCGCCTCCCCTCCCCCGAGCAGGGCAGAGGACGACACGTTTAGCGGGGGCAACACCAAGATCATGGTGAGCTGGCGACACATTGGCCGCCGGGGAGGGAGCACAAACACAGGGGGGGAGGGGCTGGTGCGCACGCGCCGCGGCTCATGGCCATGTTTTCGCGCATGTGGATGACGGACTCGCGCAAGCCGCCCCACCAGACGGCATCCAGCCCGAGGTCCCCGGCTTCGACCAGATCCACAAAGAGGATGGCCTGATCGACGGCCGGATCATCCACCCCATCCAGGCCGACGGCCACGTCGTCCTGCGCCGCGCGGTACAGATCGGCCGCCGTGGGGAAGTGGGCGCCCCCGAGTTCGGGGTCCGCCTCGAACAGACGCCGCATTTGGGCCCGGAGGTGCTACGGAGGGCGGGCGAGGCAAGGCAGGGCAAGGCAAGGAGGTCAGCAACCCGACGCGGGGGACGGATGGCGACGGGGGGGAGGCGGAGAGCCCCGGCCGGTGAGCCCGCGTACCCGGGACATAGGGCGATCTCCGGCTTCCAAATAGATGGCGCTCGTCAGGGCCAGGAGGGTCGCTCGCGAGAGGGCCGACAGCTCGGTGCAGCGAAGAAGCATGAAGGCCTGCCTCGGGCGATGGGTTGGCCACGGTGAGCAACGCAGGGGGGTGGGGGACATGTATGCGCGGCACATGTGCGTCAGGACACTCAATACGGAGCGAGGCGAGAGGGGACCCCGGCCGAGGAGGATGACAATGCACGCACGCCGGTGCAGGCCGATGAGAGCAGCCCACAGCGAGCCAGTCCCCGGCATACCAGGGTCCCATCGACACGCTGCGAGAGGAAAGTCCTCCGAGCCAGGAGTTCCTGCTGTTGCTGCTGCTGGCGCAGGCGCTGTTGCTGCTCTTCGAAGTGTCGGAATTGGTGCTCGCGCTGGCGTTGCTGTTCGCGCTGGAAATAACCCGGTCCGCTCAGGAGCCCGGCGAATGAACCGGACCCCGGGAGATCGGGGCCGCTGGACGGCGGGCCGGCCACCGCGGCCGGGCGCTGCTCGTCGCCCTGCTTCGGGGCATCATCCGCTGCCCTCGACAGGAGGGAGCCCCCGAGGGAGGCCAAGACGTCGGCCGTGGCGGAGACAGGCGCACGCCCGGCCGGGGGCTGGAACCAGGCCTGGCTCATGTGGCCGGATGCCGCGGGAGGGGAACGAAAAAAGGAAGACGAGACAAGGGGCGCGCGGCAGCGGGGGCGAGGGAAAAGGGCGGGCAAGCAGGGGACAGGAGGGGGAGGGGGAGGAGGGGGGCGCTTCCGGAGCAATGGGAGGGACAAGGATGCGGCACTGTGGGAGGGGGGGGGATGACCAGGCCCTACCGGCCGCGGGCCGCGCCACACCGGGCCCCCTTGTCCAGGGGTGCGCGCCCTCCCCTCCCCGGCGGGGAGGCCAGCAAACAGGTGAGGGGAAATGCTCAAGGGCAACGGGCCGAGGCGCGAGATCGCGGGCATGAAGTGCCACCGCATCAGCGTCCCCATGCGCGTGATGTCCAGGTGATGAAGGGCATCTCGTTGCCGATTGGGGCAAGACGGACGTCCTCCGGCACGGGGCGGCAGGCGCCGCGGCGCCGGGCGCAGCCGGGAATGTCCCCCCTCCTTGGGG